AATTGGTTATCCATATGAAGACAAATAAGACTAGACCCTGTACAAACTTGAAAGAGATCAAAAGCCCAGGAATTAGATCAGAAACTATGCAAATCCTTGGAAGAAAATATAGGTTTGAGACTCCAGAATATAGGTACAGGCAATGACTTTCTTATTAGAACTCCTAAAGCTCAGAAAATAATGACAAGAGTTAATAAACAGAATGGCATCAAATTAAAAAGCTTCTGCACAGCAAAGAAAACAATTAGTAACATGAAGAAAGAACCTACAGAATGGGAGAAAATATTTGCTAACTACTCTTTTTTTTTTAAAGAGAGAGAGATTTTTTTAATATTTATTTTTTAGTTTTCGGGGGACACAACATCTTTGTTTGTATGTGGTGCTGAGGATCGAACCTGGACTGCATGCATGCCAGGCGAGTGCGCTACCGCTTGAGCCACATCCCCAGCCCCTAGTTGTGTCTTTATATACTCAGGGTAATGATGGTAATCTCATTCCACTGTCTTTTCTATCTACTATTTAGATGTGTTTGAGAACTTTAAGAAAAATCAGAAAAACTCTTCCCTATTTTCATGAGAGCATGAATTTTTAGCCATATAAAATCTGTCCTGATGGGTTTTGGTTATATTTTTATACCTCATGAAAAGGGAAGAAATGTTAGCCAGGTCAAGCCTCTAAACTAGAAGCTAATAACCATGTTATCTTGTGTGCTCTCTTCCTCCACATCATCATTTAGGTTTGAGTGAGGCCAAGAACTAATGACACAAAGAACAGAAGGAACTTTTCTTGTGATTACTGTATATTGTTTAAAGACAGCAAAGAATCAACTATTTGTAGCATTTTGAAAAATCCACATATAAACTTTTACTAGACTTTAAAATTTCTTCTTTGATACTCTGGTTCTACTCAAATGGTCCACTCTCAGAGGGGAAATTCAGAGAATCCTGGGAGAGTCATTATTTGTGAAGTCCTAGTTATGAACAAAATTCTTTATTGCAACGACTTTCAAGGTGCCTCCCTTTAGCTTTCACTCATTAGTGTTGGTTTTGTTACCTGATGCTATTAAAAAAAAAAAATCTGATCCTTATCTCACACATCCCTCTCACAAATATTGTAGAAGTACATTGTGATCCCACGAATCCTTGTCCACGGCCATCTTTCCCAGAATTCCTCAACTGTCTCTCATTTCACAGGGTTTAATCAACCTCCTTCCATCCTATTTCATATAAAGTAATCAACATTCCTTATAAAAGCTGACAGCACTTGGGTCCCCAGAACAATCCTTGTTGAGAAGAAAAAAAGAAATTCATGACCAAATAGTAGAGAAGGCAGCCCAGTCACTTAAAAGCTAAAATTGCAATAAAAGAGAAAAGAATGGTCAAGGAACCAATTAAAAGACTATTCATGTATTTTTCTTGTAAGAACCATCAGCCATGCTTCCGTTTGCACAGGGCGTCGGAAAGCGAAGCAAAATCCAAAGGACCATCGGTTAAAGTGACATCTTACTCCCCTAGTCCAGCCGCCGTCCCCTCTCCACAATCTCTATTTGCAATGGAAATCTTACACCTTCTGGATGGGACAGAATGATGTAAATCTCTGGCCAAACAAATGGGAAGGCAGCAGCCTATAGTTAGTTCCTGGTTCACTTCTGTTCGCCGGTACCGGTTCAAGGGGCGGGCAACTCCATTTCCACCATCAAAGGAGGAGTTGGGGCGGGGCTAGGTTTTGCGCATGCTCCCAAGGCAGGTTTTGGGGCATGCTCAGAGCAAGCGCACGCTGACAATTTCCGGTGAGAGCTTTCTCCTGGAGTGGGAGGCGGTTTACTGCGGAGCCCCGGCGGTAGGTGGGTAAGTGCTGCGAGAGTAATTACGAGCTTCCGTGTTTAGAAGAAGACAAAAAGGGTGTGCTTGGATTTACCTGTGTTTTCCTTCCGAGTTTTTTTCCTAATGCTCTAAAACCTTGGGTTCTGGGAAATGAGAGCAAGGTGGAGAAGCTTTGGTTACTGTGGCAACCATGTGTTACCGATTCTGGTATTTGAGGATTTGACAAGAGAGAATTTGTGTTATAACTCCTCAAAGTACATGCTGGGTCGCATTCAGAGTCACATTTCAAACTCAGGTGTTTAACCACGGAAATTGACTTTAAAAGACTTAATTCTGGTAGTAATGTGGAAAAGCAGTATTTTAGGCAGGGTAACTAGTTAGAAAGCTAATTCAGTGATTAACACAATTTCAGGGTGTTGTAGAATTCCAGAGAAGAGAAAATATTGTAGAAATTCTAGGAGGTAGGATCAGAAGCTTTAATGCTTGGGTCGATGTGGGAAATGAGGGAGAGAGACACTGAGCCTCTTGAGGATTAATTCCAAACTCGCTTTGGCATTTGTATTTCTAGTTTCGTTTGCCACCTGAAATATCATTGCGTCCTACCTATCCCTTGTCCTAGTTCTAGTCATGCCTAGTAGTTTTGTGTTCTCTGAATTTCCTTGTCCTCATTTTGTGTGTGTGTGTGTGTATGTGTGTGTGTGTATGTGACAAGTTTCATAATTTCACTCCCTTAGTTTTTTTCAACATAATATGGAAGAAAACAATAGTGCCCACCTCTGGGTTGTTGTGGGGATTAGTATGTAGTGTGAGTGTGTGATGCTGTGTGGGAGGGATAGAACCCAGGGCCTCATGCACACTAGTCAGGCACTTTACCACTGAGTTACATCCCTAGCCCCAAATTAAATAGACCGGCTATGTAGTAAAGATCCAATAAATATTAGCTACTACTATTTGTACTGTATTTGTTATTTGCATTTGTTGTTTCTTTCTCTAGGCTTGAACTTTTTAAAATTAAGGGGAAATATCTTTATGTGCTTGGAACATAGTAATAGTTGAGTAATGGATTATTTATTTTGGCTGTTTCTGACATAATTAAATGCTTTTTGGGTGGGTGGGGGGGTACCAGGTGTTGAACCCAGGGGCACTTAACCACTGAGCCACTTCCCCAGCCTTATTTTGTATTTTATTTAGAGACAGGGTCTTACTGAGTTGCTTAGGGCCCTGCTAAGTTGCTGAGGCTAGCTCTGAACTGTGATCCACCTGGCTTTAGCCTACTGAGCTGAACAGAGCTGCTGGGATTACAGGCCTTGGCAAATTCATTCTTTACTTTAAAAGAACTGCCAGATGCCGGTTGGAGTTGTTGTTAAATGGGTAGAGTCCTTGCCTAGCATGTGTGAGGCACTGGGTTCAATCCTTAGCATCACATATAAATAAATAAATAAATAAATAAAAGTATTGTGTCCATCTACAACTAAATATATTTAATTTAAAAAACCTACAATGCAATGGATCTTGCTGCTCAAGTGATATTTATTATTGGCTGTTTTTCTGTACAATCCAGAAACTTGTGGATTAAGATATACCAAAAGTAACTGATATTCTCAGTTTGGAATAGGTATGAGTGATTTCAGTGAAGAATTGACAAAGACCATTTCAGAGGATGACCAGGTGGAAACATCTGTGCTCACTGGTACAGGAATGTATTTTCCTTGGCTTCAGAAGCATTTAGAAACTGTAGGTAAGTAAAATAACGGAACCATTTTAACTTTAGTGCAAGGAAGTAGTAGATTCAGTATGTATACAAAATGAACCACGCTGGTTTAGTTTTTAAGAATATATAAGCTGTTTTCTTGTTTTGACTGTAAGCAGAAAGGGAATCATAATAAATATTCTTTTTTCTTTTAGAATCCTTTTCTTTTGAATTAATGTACAGTCTATATTATGTTGCAGCCACATTTTTTTTTTCAGCAGTGCTTTCTGAGCACTAATATCTAATATATAAGTCTAAATATTGGGGACTTATACATGAAGAAGATATAGTCTCTTCTTTTGAGAAGCACATAGCTTTCAAAAAAATAATATTTTCCCTCATTTTTTTCTAATGTAAATACAGGCAAAATTTTCTATAGGATAAATTCCTTAAAGATATATACAAGAATCAGTTATTTGTACATTGCCATGTTAGGTGGTATAACCCCAGGAATACGTTTGAATCAACACTTTCTTTATTGTGTCAAAATGTCTTTCTTATCCCAGCCTTCTTTCCCCTTTGGCAGTGATTCCTTGGCTCCTATGATTAATTCCAAACTCACTTTGGCATTTGTCTGTCTTGTTTAGTTTGCCACCCGAGATATCACTGCAATGAATCTTGCTGGTCAAGTGATATTTATCAGATGAAAAGGTGGCTGTTTTTCTGTACAATCCAGAAATTTTTGGATTAAGATATACCAAAAGTAACGAATATTCTCAGTTTGGAATAGGTATGAGTTATTTCAATGAAGAATCCTAGAGTTTAGCTCCCATTTAAAAAAATTTTTACTCTGTCTTTTTATTTGATGATCTCAGTTAATCCTCAGTAAATTTATGTGGTAGGCATTTTAATATGAAGAAACTGAGTTTCACAAATTTATACTCCTAAGTATTGCTATCAGGAATCATGTCTATCTGATTTTAGAGCATTCACTTCTAACCACTGAGATGAAGGGAACTTAACCTGAGCATAATATTCCTTTAGATGAACAAAGAATATTTCAAGGAAAGTGTGTTTTGTTAGTTTTCTGGGCTAGTTGCCAGGGATTGTTGCTGATTAAACAGCTTGAGTATAGGTGTTGTTAAATGCAGCCTCTTGATTTGGAGATCTGGATGGAGCATTGTATTCTGCATTTCTAATTAGCTTCTAGGTGATTCTAATGTTGCTAGTTTCAGAACCACATCCAGTAGCCAGGGTCAGGATCCCAAGGTGATTTATATGTACCTTATTAGTGGTTTATATGTACCTAGATCAATATAGTCTTTGACCTTTTCCACTGTCATATTTCTTTTTTTTAACTGTGTCCTACTTTGTACAATTTAAAAATTTTCTTCTAAAAAGTTTATCAGTTGCAAGAGATAAATTTCCAGCACATGATGGTGTTTTAATTACATTAAATTATATTACTTTAAAAAGTAGATCTGGTAGAATCTAAATAGCAGAGATGTAATGTCCTTCCATTGCCAACCTTAAAACATTCAATGAAAAAACTTTTTATAAATGTAAATTTTGTATTGTTCTTGTTTTTGTAGTACATTTTGCAGTAAAAGTATGTCTGTATTTGCACTTATTTTTAACGTCCTATAAGTTTTTAAGTTTTAAAATTTCTTTTGGGTTGAGATATGTGTTAAGTTTTAAGTATTTTAATTTTTTAATCTTACCCCAGTTACTTCATGTATCATTAGGAATGTTAACTTTAGAATGAGAAAAAATCTGGCATTAATTCTATATTTTAATGAATGTAAACTCTGAGAAACTTTAGTCACATAAGGAAGTAGAATGGAATTTAGTTAAGCAAGTATCAGATTTTCAACTCATGAGTTACTCACAAAAAATTACATGGTCTAGTTAAAATTATTAGAACATTCTACAGTTTTGATAAAAGAATTGGGAATCACTTGACTTGCAAAAGTAAACATTAGAATCATTCAGTTTTCATCATGTGTTGAAAATACCTTCAGGTAATATGTAATGATTTTGATTGTGAGACCTTGATTATGGGCATAGCACTCTAGGGGATTAATTTCAGGAAACAATATACAAGGAGGTAGAATCTGCAAATTGATTGCTTTAAGAGGATCTTTGCTTTAAGAGGACCTATTGGTCTATTGTATTTGCAGGGGTAAGGGTACCCAGCCAGAAGACTGCTGGCCTAGAGGGCTCTGGTAGTTGTGTAGGAAGGAAAGCATAGTAACCAGTCACTTATATAATGAGGTTGTTAACTAAGTCCAGATATCCTTAAAGGAATCGCTAATACTTAAGGGATATAAATGCTAATGTCTATAGCTGTTTTTTTTTTTTAATTTTTTATTGCAGTACTGGGGATTGACCTCAGGGGCACTCTTTCACTGAGCTACATCCCCAACCCTTTTGTAGTTTCTTTTTTTTTTTCTCTTCCCCCTCACACCATCATATATGTAATTTTGTATAACAATGAGGGCCTCCTTCCCTCTTCCATGCAATTACCCTTCTCCCTCCCATTCCCTCCCACCTCTCGTCCCTGTTTAGTGGTAATCTTCTTCTCTTTTTTTAAGGAATGAACTCCAAGCAATGAATTTTCCTCTTAGAACTGCTTTCAATGTGTCCCATAGATTCCGATATGTTGTGTCTGTGTTTTCCTTTATCTCTAAGAATTTTTTAATTTCCTCCTTGATGTCTTCTATAACCCATTGATCATTCAGTAACCTATTGTTCATTCTCCAAGTGATGTATGCTTTTTCCTTCCTTCTTTTATTGTTGATTTTCAGTTTCATTCCATTATGATCAGATAAGATGCATGGTATTATCTCTACTCCTTTATATTGTCTAAGAGTTGCCCTATGACATAATATATGATCTATTTTTGAGAAGGATCCATGTGCTGCTGAGAAAAAAGTGTAACTGCTTGATGTTGGGTGGTATATTCTATATATGTCAATTAAGTCTAGGTTATTAATTGTGTTATTGAGTTCTATAGTTTCCTTACTCAACTTTTGTTTGGAAGATCTGTCCAGTGGCGAGAGAGGTGTGTTGAAGTCTCCCATGATTATTGTATGGTGGTCTATTAGACTCTTGAACTTGAGAAGAGTTTGTTTGATGAACATAGCTGCACCATTGTTTGGGGCATAAATATTTATGATTGTTATGTCTTGTTGGTGTATGGTTCCCTTAAGCAGTATGTAGTGTCCCTCTTTATCCCTTTTGATTAACTTTGGCTTGAAATCTATTTTATTTGATATGAGTATGGACACTCCTGCTTGTTTCTGAAGTCCATATGAGTGATATGATTTTTCCCAACCTTTCACCTTCAGCCTATGTATGTCTTTTCCTATCAAATGCGTCTCCTGTAGGCAGCATATTGTTGGGTCTTGTTTTGTGATCCATTCTACTAGCCTGTGTCTCTTAATTGGTGAGTTTAAGCCATTAACATTTAGGGTTATTATTGAGATATGGGTTGTTCTTCCAGCCATATTTGTTTATTTCTGTTACTAAACATGGTTTGTTTTCCTCTTTGATTATTTTCCCCCCCTTTACTGTCCTACCTCCCACTGTTGGTTTTCATTGTTATTTTCCATTTCCTCTTCCTGTAATGTTTTGCCGAGGATGTTTTGAAGAGATGGTTTTCTAGCTGCAAATTCTTTAAACTTTTGTTTATCATGGAAGGTTTTAATTTCATCTTCCATCCTGAAGCTTAATTTCGCTGGATACACAATTCTTGGTTGGAACCCATTTTCTTTCAGTGTTTGAAATATGTTATTCCAGGATCTTCTAGCTTTCAGAGTCTGTGTTGAAAGATCAGCTGTTATCCTGATTGGCTTACCCCTAAATGTAATCTGCTTCCTTTCTCTTGTAGCTTTTAAAATTCTCTCCTTACTCTGTATGTTGGGCATCTTCATTATAATGTGTCTAGGTGTGGATCTCTTATGATTTTGCACATTTGGCGTCCTGTAGGCTTCTAGGATTTGGGATTCTGTCTCATTCTTCAAGTCTGGGAAGTTTTCTCATATTATTTCATTGAATAGATTGCTCATTCCTTTGGTTTGGAGTTCTGTACCTTCCTGTATCCCAATGACTCTTAAGTTTGGTCGCTTAATGTTATCCCATATTTCTTGGATGTTCTGCTCATGGTTTCTTAACAGTCTTGCTGAGCTGTCTATGTTCTTTTCAAGTTGAAATACTTTGTCTTCATTGTCTGATGTTCTATCTTCTAAGTGTTCTACTCTGCTGGTAGTATTCTCCATTGAGTTTTTAAGTTGGTTTATTGCTTTCTGCATTTCTAGGATTTCTGTTTGTTTGTTTTTTATAACCTCTATCTCCCTGTATAGTTGATCCTTTGCTTCCTGGATTTGTTTGTGTAATTCATTGTCGAAGTGATCTTTCATTGTCTGATTTTGCTGTCTAATGTCTTCCTTGATACTCCAGATCATCTGAAGCATGTATATCCTGAATTCTTTATCTGACATTCCATCTGCTGCAGCTGTTACCTCTTCTAAAGTTGCGTTGACCTGCATTGCTTGTGTTCCTTTCTTTCCTTGTCTTTTCATACTGCTTGCGTTTCTTTCTTGCAGGCGCGGGCGGCGGCTCTGCTCTCTCCTTATTCCAATTGGGGTGTCGTGACTACCACACTGGCAGGTCATTGGGCCTGTTCTGGGCGCTGGCGGCGGCTCTGTTCTGCCCCTACTCCAATTGGGGTGACGAGTGTACCACGCCGGCAGGCCACCGTGCCTGATCCGCCAGTCGGTTGCAGGTTTGCCTACCCTGCAGGCACGGGCGACGGCTCTGCTCTGCCCTTACTCCAAATGGGGTGACGTGTCTGTCGTACTGGCAGGCCACTGGGCCTGTCCCGCTGGTCGGTCGCAGGTCTGCCCACCTTTCGGGCACGGGTGGCGGCTCTGCTCTGCCCCTACTCCAATTGGGGTGTTGTGACTACCCCGCCGGCAGGTCGCTGGGCCTGTTCCTGGCACGGGCGGCGACTCTGCTCTGCCCCTACTCCAATTGGGGTGACGTGTGTACCACGCCGGCAGGCTCCTGGGCCTGATCTACCGGTCTGTCGCAGGTCTGCCTACCTTGCAGGCGCGGGCGGCGGCTCTGCCCTGCCCCTCCTACCACGCCTGCGGACCGCTGGGCCTGATCTGCAGGTTGGTCACAGGTCTGCTCACCCTGCGGGCACGGGTGGCGGTTCCGCTAACTATAGCTGTTTTAATTTTGTTTGCATTTAATATTATTGTGTTACTGGGAAATTGGTACTTAAAATATAAAAGCCCAGCTAGGTGAGGTGGCACATGCCTGTATTCTCAGATACTTAGGAGGCTGAGGCAGGAGGATGGCAAGTTTGAGATTCAGCCTAGGCAACTAAATTAGCAAGACCTGTCTAACAAAAAAAAAAAAAAGATAGAAAGAAGGAAAGACTATAACTGCTCAGCAGTGGTAGAATACTCCTGGTTCAATCCCTAGTACTATAAAAATAAATAAGTTTATTTGGAATTTTCAGAATATTGGTGGATAATAAAGACTGTGCTTGCATAGGGTGACTGGTGATTTTTACCCATTCTAATTACCAGGGCTTGTGCTTTTGGGGATCTTATTGAGAGATTCTCCCCATTTCCTCCATGGGTTGTGCACTTGTTTTCTACTCTCTTGTTCAACAAATTGCTTAATGCCAAGATGAAAGGATGATTGAATGAGATTTGAAGGATCTGGTGACTGTAGTAGCTCAAGAACGTAATTTAGATTTTTAGAAATTTGCTAAAAAACAGTATGTGTGGAAGAGTTTGTTTCAAGTGAAGTTGACTTTGATACTTGGAGATGGACTGGGTCAAGTAATACCTACTGTTCTATTTATCAGAAATTAAGTTTTTGTAATAGTTGAATTGGAGTCACTGGGTGACCCTTATCCTTCATCTTTACAGTGACTGGAGGGAAAAAGAAGAAAGATTTTGCTCAGACAACAAGTGCTTGTTTAAATTTTATCCAAGAAGCTCTTCTGAAGCACGAGTGGCAGCAAGCTGCAGAGTATATGTACAGCTATTTGCAGACCTTGGAAGATTCAGACACCTACAAAAAGCAGGCTGCACCCGAGGTAAACAAAGTGTGAGTCTGCTGAAAGAAACAGCAGATTCCTGAAAGATTTTGCCTCTAGCTCCATTCACAATAGCTTTAGGGGGATTTCAAACTGAATTTACTAAAAGCTGCTAAAAGTAATGTTGGATGTAGAATTTATATCAAGACTAAAAATAGTCTTGATTTGTGCATTCTCAAATTTCCCAGTATTCATTCATTCCAATAATAATTCCTTCTTACCTTGTATTATTTTACCCTCTGTATAGGGTAAAATTAACACCTTTGTAGATGAGATTAAGAAAAGAAAAGATCAAATGGGAATGGGTGAGCACATCACACAGGAGCCCTGATTACAGTGTTTTTTAGCAGAGGAGTGAATGAGGACTTAAGGTTTTAAAAGGTTCACTCTACATCATTAGACATTAGGAAAACAAAAATCATTTTAAAACCACAATAAGATATCACTTTAAAACCACCAGGATGACTAAAGTCAAAGAGACAACAAGGCAAGGGTGTAGAGAAGCTGGAACCCTCAACACCTTTCATCTACAAAGGTGTTAATTCTTTTTTTCATTAGAAATCATTTTAATTCCCACTTACTCCACAGGTTTTGCACCTGTTTTGTACTCTCGTTCAACAAAACTTGAAAGTTTTTTTCTCCAACCAGAGTGTTCTTTTTGTCTGTTTTTTAAATAGCTTTATGGAGACATTAGCACACCATACAATTCACTGACTTGTACAATTTAATATTTTAAATATTTTCACAGAGTTGTGCAAACATTAACCACAATCTAAATTTAGGACAGTTTCATCTTCTACAAAAAGAAAACCTGTACCTATTTGCAGTCTTTCCTCATTGCTTCTCCACTGACTCGTAGCCCCTGGAAGCTACTAATCTACTATTTTCTATGGTGGACATTTCATATAAATGGAATCTTATAATGTAATGGTCATTTGTGAATGATTTCTTTTACTTTGTAAAATGTTTTCAAGGTTCATTTATGTTGTAGTAAAAGTATTCGTGCTTTTTCCTTTTTATTGGCAAATGTTTTTTTATATGGACATACCACATTTTATATATCCATTCATCAGTTTGTTAGACATTTGGGTTGATAATACTTTTTGGTTATTGTGAATAATGCTTCTATAAATATTCATGCACAAGTGTTTGTATGTGGATGTTTGTTTTGATTTTTCTTGGGTATATTCCTAGAGTAGAATTTTAGATCATGTAGTAATTGTATTTAACTTCTCAAGAAACTACCAGACTATTTTCAAAAGTGACTCCACCATTTTATATTTCCATCAGTAATATTTGAGAGTTCCAACTTGTCTACATCCTTGCCTTAATGTCTCTTTTTGATTTTAGTCATCCTGGTGGTTTTAAAGTGATATCTTATCGTGGTTTTAAAATGATTTTTGTTTTCCTAATGTCTAATGATGTAGAGTAAACCTTTTAAAACCTTAAGTCCTCATTCACTCCTCTGCTGAAAACACTGTAATCAGGGTTCCCGTGTGATGTGTTCACCCATTCCCATTTGAACTTTTCTTTTCTTAATCTCATTTCCTGTTACTTGCTCACCTGTATTTTCTTTTCCAGTCTTACTAGCCTTGCTCTTATTAGAATAAGCCAGTCATATTCTGCCTCAATCTTTACCTTATTTATTTATTTATTTTACTTGGAAAGATCTTTCTTCAGCTATCATCATGTCTGCCCTTCTGTATGACCGCTTTTCTGTGACCTCTCTGAGGTCTACCTTGATTATTTAAAATTACAACTGCATTTCTTGCTTTCTTATTCCTACTTTGTACTGGCACTCTTGATCTCCATGTCCTTCTCACTCTTTTCCAGTAACACTTGTTAATATAATTATGTTTTTTTTTTTCTTGTGTGACTCTCCATATCAAATGTACATTTCTGAGGGAAGGGGTAAAACAGTGCCTGAAATAGTGCCTGGCATATACTGCTAAATTTGTTGAGTAAAAAGCAGTTTCTCCACAAATAACTTTACTTGACTATTTTAGGTGCTTTTACTAATATAGTAACCAGTGCATCAATCTAATGGAGCCAAAACCAAAAATACCAAATAGTACATTGATGCTACTTGGTGTGTGTGTGTGTGTGTGTGTGTGTGTATGTGTGTAAAAAGAAAATATAATTATTGACAAATTTTAATTTAGGGACTAAAGTTACATATATCTGTAAATCATTAGTAACGATTTACATTACAGAGAGGCATTATATACCTCTCTTTTGTCCAGATTTTGTTTTATAAAATGAAGAAATTAAATGAGTGGCTTCATTTAATTTACTTGTTTGAATCCTTTTGAACTACCTAGGGCATGTGTTGAAAATACAGATTCCATCAGTCACTGTAGAGTACAGCTGAAATCCCAAGCAGCTCGAGGCTGAGACAGGAGGATTGCAAGTTCAAGACCAACCTCAGCAACTTAGTGAAACCCTGTCTCTAAATAAAAAGGACTGGGGACTTAGATTAAGCACCCTGGGTTAAATACCCAATACTTCTCAAGAAAAACCCAAATAATAAATAAATATCTATCACGTGTGCGCGCGCGCGCGCTCTCTCTCTCTCTCTCTCTCTCTATATATATATATATACACACACACACACACATACATATGTACGTATGTATATTTATTTTTGGTACCCTACCCCCTGGGGCTTTTAACCACTGGCTTAGCCATTTTTATGTTTTATTTTGAGACAAGGTCTCACTAAGTTGCTTAGGGCCTTGCCGAATGGCTGAGGCTGGCTTTGAACTCATGATCTCCTGCCTCAGCCTCCCAAGCTGCTGGGATTACGGGCATGGTGGCTTATAATATTTATTTTTAATAGGTGCCCCAGGTAATTCTTTCTTATGACTGGGTTTAAGAACAACTGTAGATAACTATAGATAATGGATAATCTTTAAGTTTTTTGTTTTGTTTTTGTTTTGGTGGTGCTGGGGATGAAACCTAGTACCTGCCTTGCTAGGCAGTGCTTTTATCACTGTGCTACTCCCCAGCCCTCTGCAGGTTTCTTTAAGCTCCTCAATGCTACTTTTGATATTCTACAATGAAGTCTTGATCTGTTTTTTTTTTTTTTTTGTTTGTTTGTTTGTTAGTTGCAGATGGACAGAATGCCTTTATTTATTTTTTATGTGGTGCTGAGGATTGAACCCTGTGCCTCATGCATGGAAGGCAAGCGCTCTACCACTGAGCTGTAGCCCCAGCCCTGTTTTTTTTTTTTTTAATTGGGAATATGAAGTTATTGTACCAAACAACCAATGTGTGCCTTCTAGAAATAATTGACTTTGAAGTTCACTTTAAAGTTGGTATGGTTGAAGTACTTTAAATGGGGGTAAGAGAAATAGACATTTGCTTCCATGTAAAAAGAACTCCCAAGTTCTTTCACCAGGATTGGTGATCTGAAGAGAAAATATTTTTTATTAAAACTTGTTTATATTTGATGATAGTTCTTAAATTTGTGTTGTAAATATTGGAATAAATATACTCAATATTGATAAGATCTTAAGAAACTAGTCTGTTGCACTCACTTTGCTGAGAATAAAGATGAGGTTGAGACCAGTTAAGAAGCCAATATTACCAAAACCTAGTTTCTGACTTATTCTTCCTATACTAATTAAGTTTTATACTTAATGATATCTTAGCTGCCTCTTCCTCTTTTAGACTGCTAATCTAATAACAGCACTGTTATACTTACCTAGAATTTAAAAACTAGTATGGAAAAGATTTTGTCATGTGAGATCTAACGTTAGTTTTACTGGGTAAAGTATGATAACATAGACAATTATGGTATCTAGGGAAAGGAATTTTAGGTTGTTTTTATATGTAATCAGAAAAACAAAACTTACAGGAAAAATAGGATAAAGGCAGGGTTGGACTTAAATTGGGTAATAATTTCTGCTTTGACAGGTTATTTGGAGGCTTGGAAGTGAAATTCTCTTTTATCACCCCAAAAGCAATGTGGAGACTTTCAATACCTTTGCTGACCGAATGAAAAATATTGGTGTCCTGAATTATGTAAAGGTAAGAATATAGACTTTGTGAACTTATATTTACAGTGTTCATATTGTTTTCTGAATTGTTTGTATCAGTGTAAAGTAAACAATAATGAAGAAAGGGTAAGATACTGGGATAAATAAGAAATAAAGCAGTGTTGTGCCAGCCATTCCTTAGTTTCTGATCATCTTCCATGTTGTCTGATGGGAAATACCTCCTCTTTGTTTATCTGGCTGCCAAAACCAGTCCATCAGATGTTGAAGTTGTGCTTCTACTGTTTGCCCAAGTTATTTGTGCTAAGTTGGTATTTTTGGAAAAAGCGAAACAAGTGGGGAATTTGAATGTGTAAAAACATTTTAATTCCTATTTGCATGGAACCTTCTCTCCAAGTTAATATGTTTTATTAAAAGTATTACCAAACTGGCTGAGACATTTCCAAGATTATCTCTCTCTGTCTCTCTTTTTTTTTTTTAACTAACAGAGCACTTTTCAATAAAATTTTATAATTTGCTTTTAATTATTTTTCAAGGCCATAAGGTTTTACTGGAATACAGCCACACACATTCATTTCCATATTGTCAATAGCTGTTTTTTTAATGAAAATGAGTAATTATGAAGAAGTCATGTGCCATGCAAAGCCTAAAATATTTACTTTGTAGCTAGTTTTAAATTTTGTTTTGTTTTTACTTTTCCTGTTTTCTGGAATTTTAAATTGTGATTGTTTATAATGGAACATGCTATCTTAACCATTTTAAGTATACAGTTCTGTGGTATTAACTATATTCACCATGTTGTAAACTGTCACCACTATTTCTAAAACATTTCCATCACTCCAAACAGAATCTTTATATTTATTAAACAAGAGTTCCCCATTTTCTACTCCTCCCCATGCTACTGACAGTCTCTAATATCTTTTCTGTTTTTATGAATATGCCCATTCTAGATGTTTTAGATAAGTGGAAGCATGCACTTTCCTTTCCATTGGAATTGACATCATTCTCCAGCACTCCCTGTTAAGATGTTTTCTTTTGAGCTGATTTAATATATTTAAAATAGTTATATTATTGGTTGTCTACTGTAGCCCAAACTAGGAATTAGTAGTATGCAAAAGTTAAATCTCATTTAATTTTTTAAATTAAAATTAAATCTCATTTAATCCTAACAACACCCTTCTGAAGGATTAAGAATTACCTCATAAAACAGGTGAGACAAAAGGACGAATAAGTTACTCAGATTTATTTAGCATTTAATTGGCATATGAGCCAGGACACTGTCTTCAAAACCCCTGTTTTTTGTTTTTTTCACTATTGTACTGTCTTCTCTTTGTAATTTAGCTTTACATAATTTAGCTTTCATTTACATAGTGTCATTTCATCTGTCTTTCTTCTTAGGTTGAAATTGTTGATGACAGGGACAGTGTCATATCTTTCGTATCCAATCAAGGACTTAGTCCATCATATATTTACTGTGTTTTTTGAGTAATGGTTATCTTAATGACTTCAGTGACAGTGGGCTTTTTCTTATTACTGGTGCAGATCTCCTTACAACATGCATTGTACCTTATGCATCATGGAATGCTTGAGGATGCAAACAGAAATCTAAGTCAGGCAGAGACATGGAGATATGGTGAAAAATCGTCTTCTCAGGAAATATTAATCAACCTTGTTCAGGCCTACAAAGGGCTTTTGCAGTATTATACGTGGTCCAAAAAGAAAGCTGAATTGTCAAAGCTTGGTGAGTGAATATGAATAAATTATTTTCTTATGGTGAAGAGACTGAAGAGCAGAAGGGATCTTAAGGAGTAATCTAGTAATCCATCTACTGACTTCATTCAGACAAATTCTTGATCATCCTTTATGATATTTCTGATATATCATAAAACTTCTTGGTCATAAATTAGATGATTCATTGCTAAATTCATGACCATTTTAATGATTTTTTAAATTTTGGTCCTAGGTAAACAGCTGGACCTCAGTGGTGAAAACACATTTTATTCAGTAGGTTAAGAGCTAAGCTCCATTGCAGTTTGTATAGAGGCGATTCAGTGTCTTAAATAGAAAAGGGGGCGGGATGACAGTGCCTTGAGTAGAGTAAGAAAAGTAAAAAATTCTAAAGAAGGGGGAAATAGTCCATGTGAAAACCCATCTGGATTTACTAACTGGGTTTATGCAAGTGAGGCATCTACTCTCCCACAGAGGTTAAGAGTCAGGAGCCCTATCTTTAGGAGTGTTGGCTAGAACAAACTAAATTCTTTAAGCAGCCTTGAGTATACCCTTTAAGGAGCCCTAAGGTCATCCTAGGGATATAGCCTCGCATTAGAAATTATCTTAGTGTTTCTTGGGGCTGGGGTTGTGGCTCAGTGGCAGAGCACTAGCCTCGCACATGTGAGACACTGGGTTTAATCCTCAGCACCACATAAAAATAAATAAAATGAAATAAAGATATTGCATCCATCTATAACTAAAAAATATTAAAAAAAAAAAAAAGAAAAGAAATTATCTTAGTGTTTCTTAAAGTCTTAATAGGTAGACCAGGATTGGGGCATAGTCCAAAGAGGGACTAGGCTTAGAGGAGCTGGTTGGAGTTTGATCTAGGAGAAAGTCTTTGAATTTATGAGAAAGGTTATAAATTTTCTTTAGCAGCCATTATTGCATGTAATAAACTCTTCTTCTTGTGTGTTTAGAGTTTAGTTTGTTCCATATTATTGTTCCCCAGAATAACGTTTAAAGAATAGGGCAAGATAAAAAGTAATTTCTGTACAAAGGTTGTAATGCAATTTTTTTGATTTACTGGCCATACCAAAAATTGAGCACTCAGTTCTCAAGCTGAGTTCCCCTTCTCTTAACCCTTCTTTGGTGATATCATCCTCTCCTACTCCCAGATATACATTCTTTGAAGCTACATGATTCTCTGCACTTTTCTTTCCCTTGTGTAGTTTTCCTCCATATCTTCTCCAGAATTAAGTCTTTTCTATTTTCACATCCTTCTTCCCAATTTTAGCCCTGGTATTTATCACCTTATAGGTGATAAACACTATTTCCTTATTATCCTTATGTAGTAAGTAATATTTCCTTTGTCCCTAGGCATGTAGATTTCACCAATCTCAGTTCCCATCCTTCTTCTTGTATTACCTCTTCTTGTCTCCCAAGATTCTTCTGGAAGGCCCTAGTGTTAATCTTGTGACATTTTTGCAGTTTCTTCATCTATCATACCCTCTGTCCTTTAAGACTCTTTGAAACCTGCCCTGGCACCTGATTCATAATACTTTAAACCTTCTATATCAGCTGCCTGTTCAGCCTATGTCATTTGGCTTTTCATCTCTTGCTTTTTAATTGTTCTGAGTTTTTTCAGGTATATTTTATGCTGTATCTTATTTAGATTAAGGCCATCTTTTGATGTCACATGTTTGTCTTCTATTTCTTTTAACTTTGCTATCATTTCTGATATAATTTTCTTTTTTCCTCTATTTTAACCTTGCTATCATTTCTGGTATAAATTTTCCTTCTAAAAAGGCTTGCTGATATTAATTGATTAGGTGAGTTTTACAATCACTATTTACTTTTTTTTTTTTTATACATGGTTAGAAAAAACTTGAGCAAATATTTGACTAAAGCAATTGGAATATGACATTTAGACTGTCACTCTCATGACTAGATTCAGTACTTTTATGCAGCTGACATTTTGTTCTCTGGCTACAAGAGATGAAGATGAGATACTGTATGGAGCAATATGGAGTCCATATTGGTTCACTTAGAAAAGAATATCAACACCTGTTTTTATTGTGGTATTATGTTGTGCTTCTACTAGTTATAGCTGTTTAAACCTTAAGGTTATGAAATATAATGTAGACAAGAAAAACATATGAAATAAATGAGTGCTGTAATGCATAAGTTTAAAGTTGCATCCCTCTAACTATTATCCAGATTAAGGAACACAGCATTGCTGTCACCTTAATGTAAAAATTTTCTATATGTGCTTTCCTGATCATACTTCATCCCATTCTGTATCACGAAAATCATTGTAAGGTCTTTTAGGGTTTTCATTCTCTTGCTTTTCTTTAAATGGTAAACAAAATTAGTTTTGCTTATGTATGAATTTCTTGCCTATATATAAATTTTTTATTGTGTTTATTTTTTGGGCCTTGCATATTTTATTCAACATTGGTTTTTAAGACAATTGTATTGTTGAATGTAACTCTAGTTTATTTTTACTGCTATAAAACATATATGTTATCACACTAATTATTCCTTCTATTATTGATGGCCTTTAGTGTATTATAGTTTAATGCTGCTTTGAGATTAACCCCTCATAAGCATGCATTGCTAGGAGTAGAATTGTCATAGAGTATATGTATCTTTGTCACTGTATGAAATACCTTAGGAAGCTAACTTTACAAAGAGAAAAGGTTTAGTTCATAGTTTTGGAGATTCAGTGTCCAAGATTGGGTGGCTCTACAGTAGGTAGGAGCAAGTGGTCACATCTTGAATATGAGTGCCAAGGAAAAGGAGGGTGGAGCCAGGCTCTTTCTGTTCTAACAATCCTCTTGTCAGAACACAGGAGGTTACATGAGAATTAGCCTGAGGACCTGAGGACCTCCCACAAAGCTCCATCCCCCACTGTTTTCATCTCCCATAGCACCACACTGAGGCCCAAGCCAGTTATCATAGTGTGTCTTTGGGCAACAAAAACCATGGCGATATATAATATGCTAAACTCTTTCCTAAGTAGTACCAATTTATATTCCACTGGTAATCTGATTAGGGTTTTCTTTTGTCAGTATGTTCCTTAACATTTGTTAATTTCAGAATTTTTTTATATCTGCTAGTTTATTGGGTATAGTGGTCTCATATTTTTTTAAGAAAATAATAGCTTTATTGAAAATTGAGAATATAGTTTATATGCCACATAAATATACCCACTTAAAGCATATAGTTTTTAATATATTCATAGAGTTGCCCAGTAATCATCACCACCATTAAATTTGGAACATTTTCATCACCCCAGAAAGAAACCCTGAACTCTCCATTTCTTCATAAGCTTCTAGGCAACCACTAATCTACTTTCTATCTTTAGAGATTTATGTATTCTGGGAATCTCATGCAAGTGGAACCATCTATATAATATGTGCTCACTTAGCATAATGATTTTAAGGTTGCAAGTAACTGTATTTCTTTCCTTTTTGTTGTTGAATAACATGCCATTGTATCCACATTTAACCATTCCACGTTTATCAATTGATAGACATTTGGGTGGTTTCTACTTTTTGAATAATATTGCTGTGAATATTTATGTACAGTTTTATTTTTCTTGAATATGTTCCTAAGAGTGAGATTTCTGGATTATATAACTATGTTTAACCTTTGGAAGGAGCACTAGATTGTTTTCCAAAATAGCTGCACTATTTTAAATTACCACCATTATCAATGGAAGGGTACTAAAGTCCATGGTATCTGTGGTTTTGATTTGCATTTCTATAGGGACTAATTATGTTGAGCTCTTTTCATGTGCCTGTGAGTCATTTGTATGCCTTTGGAGAAATTTATATTTATATCTTTTGCATATACTTTGATTAAACCATTAATTTTTAGTTATTGGGTCATGAGTTCTTTATATATTCTAGACAGAAGTCTCTTAATAGATAGACTTAATAGAAGTCTCTTAATAGGAGATATTTTCTCCTATTCTGTAGGTTGCCTTTTTACTTTCTTGCTGATGTCCTTTGAAACACACAATTTTTTTTATTTATTTTGATGAAGTCCAATTATGTGTTTTTGCTTTTGTTGCTTGTGGTTTTGTTGGCATATCCAAGAAACCATTGCCCACTTCAAGGACACAAAGATTTTCACTTAACAAGAGTTTTATAATTTTAACTCTAGCATTTAGGTCTTTAATCTATTTTGAGTTAATTCTTGTGTGTGATATGAGTTAGGAAACAATCTAACTAAATTATTATGCATGTGAATGTCCAGTTGTGCCAACATAGTTGTTGAAAACAAGTATTTTCTTACTGAATTGTCTTGGTACCCTTCTTGAAAATCAGATACCATAAACATGAAGGTGTTGTTTCTGTACACTCAATTTTCTGTCATTGATCTATGTATTTTCGTCCTTACACCTATATCATACTGTCTTGCTTACTGTAGCTTTGTAATGAATTTGTAAAGTCATGGTATGAATCTTCCAACTTTGTTCTTTTTAAAAATTTTTTTATTCTATTCTCAGTCCCTGAGATTTTCATATAAATTATAGTTAGCTTGTCCATTTATACAAAAAGATTACTTGGCGCTTTTGATAGGAATTATAGGACTCTGTAGACTAGTTTAACAATAGTAGTCTTCCAACCTGTGTATCTGAGGTGTCTTTATATTTATTTGGGTCTTTTGAAATTTGTTTCAACAATATTACTTTTCAAATGGAACTTTTCATCTCTTGTAAAACTTACACCTTTTATTCTTAGTTTTTGATGCTTTTACAAATGGCATTGTTTTCCTAATTTCATTGTTTGCTTCTTCATTGTAAATTCATTCTTTGTATTTATCTTGTACCTGGCAACATTGATGAATTCATTTATTAATTCTAATAAATTTTTAATGGAATTTTAGAGTTTTATAGACAGAAAATATAGTTTTCCTTTTCAGTCTAGATGTCTTTTCTCTAATTTGCTGGAAGCCCTAGCTAAAACCTCCAGTATAATGAATAGAAATAGTGAGAGGGGACATTCTTATCTTGTTCTTGATTTTAGGGAAAAAAAGCATCCAATCTTTCACTATTAAATTTTATGTTTACTGTGGGTTTTTCATAGATACTGTTTAATCAGATTGTGGAAAGTTCCTAGATTGTCGATGGTCACAAGATGATCATGTGGTTTTTGTTCTTTGGTCTACTGATTTGGTTTAGATCAGTAGATCTTTATTTACATTAATAGATTTTCAATTGTTAAGCCAACCTTGCATTCCTAGAATAGATCCCACTTGAGCATGATGTATTATTCTTTTAACAATAGCTCAGTTTACTATTGTCTTAACAGAAGTTCTTAATACTAAACAACTTTTCTCTCTCTTTTTTGTTTTTTATGATGCTGGGGATTGAACTCTGGGCCTTCACCAAATGACTTTAAAAAATTTTTTATCTTCGGGCAGATGAAAATGATTATGCATACAGTTCAGCAACCCAAAGTATGCTCAGTGACAGCTGGAAGACATCTGTAAATATTTGTGGATTGATTAAAACTCCTGGAGTTTGGGACCCTTTTGTGAAGAGTTATGTAGAGGTAAGTAGACTTTTCATAAAATTGTATTGGTTTTATTTTTGTCTTAAGCCTATGCAGAGATTGCATGCCTAATTATCTTTATTGATCAGGAGGAAATTTAATGGAGAAAATTGTAAATCTGGGCTGGGGATGTGGCTCAAGCGGTAGCAGGCTCGCCTGGCATGCGTGCGGCCCGGGTTCGATCCTCAACACCACATACAAACAAAGATGTTGTGTCCGCCGAAAACTAAATAATAAATATTAAAAAATTCTCTCAAAAAAAAAAGAAAATTATAAATCTAACTAAATAAATAGAAAAAGAGTATGGCATATTTCTTTCTTGGTCTAAATAATTTTGGGTTTTTGGGGGGAGGAGGTGGTGGCAGGTACCAGGGATTGAACTCAGGGACACTCAACCACTGAGCCACATCCCCAGTTCTTTTTTGTATTTAGAGACAGGGTCTCACTGAATTGCTAACACCTCGCTTTTGCTGAGGCTGGCTTTGAACTCTGTCCTGCCTCAGCCTCCCAAGCTGCTGGGATTGCTGGTGTGCATCACTGCACCTGGCATTTTGTTTATTAATAAGCTGTTGATGTTACTTTTTTTTTTTCATTACTGGATAAACTATCTGGGCCTTCACCAAATGACTGATCACCAAATGGTGATCAAGATGAAGCCCGAAAGATAGCCAAATATCTACAAAGAAAATAACAATATAATTGTAAGTGTCTGTTCTGTATTATTCTTGTTGAGCTTAAAAGCTGAAAGATCTTTTATGATTTGGTGGGATATAAAAAGAAGTGAACAAAAAATCTGAAACCAGGTCACAATATATGAGATGAAGAGTAATGGCTTTTAGAAAGTTTATGAAGATTCTCTCTCATCTCACAGTCATTGTCAAAAGGCCATTTGTGGGCAGTGGTTATAGCTCGGTGGTAGAGTGCTTGCTCAGCATGTGTGAGGTACTGGGTTCGATCCTCAGCACCACATTAAAAAAAATAGTAAATATATAAAATAATGGTATTGTGTCTACAGCTAAAAATTCTTTTTTTAAAAAAGTCATTTGTCAGAGGGCTTTGATACTGAACAATAGGAATAAATTTTCAAAATAAATCGTTCTTTGAAAGTTTGAGTACTTAAAGTGCTGAATATGAAAAGATGGAAACAAAATGGAAGAAGCTATAATTGTTATGCACTCTTTTGTGACTGAAGTTATAGGTGGGGCACTGAGGTTATTAGGCATCATATTTTCTTCATTAATATTTTTGCTATGAAGCTGGGTGAGATGGGATTACACTCCTGTAATTCTAGCAGCTCGGGAGGCTGAGGCAGGAGGATCACAAGTTCAAAGCAGCCTCAGCAAAAGCGAGGTGTGAAGCAACTCTGTGAGACCCTGTCTCTAAATAAAATACAAAATAGGGATGGGGATGTGGCTCAGTGGTCGAGTTCCCCTGAGTTCAATCCCTGTCCCCCCACCCCCAAATTATATATATTCTTGCTTTGAGGACATGAATTTCTTATAGGAATAGTTCTTATGTTGAAATTACTATATTTTTTTCAGTAAAAAAAATATCATAAGGAAAAATGAACTTTATAGTCCTCTATTTTAAGGTGATTTTTTTTCATAGATGATGTAATATATATGCTAGTGGAAGCATGTTCCTTCTGTGGTACTATTTGTCAATTTTGTACTCAGCAGTAAAGTTGTGTAATCTTTTGTATCTTATAAAATTCAGCTAAGATAGTATAACTTATTTTATATAGATGTTGGAATTCTATGGTGATCAAGATGAAGCCCGAAAGATACTTACTAATTATGCTTATGATGAAAAGTTCCCATCAAATCCGAATGCCCATATATACTTATACAATTTTCTAAAGAAGGAAAAGGCACCAAGAGCGAAACTGTTAAGTGTGCTTAAGGTATAGATTTTTTATTTCACTATTTGAACAGTTTTGGGGGCTTATGTTCAAACATTTCGGGGTTATTGTTTTCTAACTTTTTATATTATAGCATTCATAGAAAATGACATTGTATGAATGGTATGCTGAGGTACACAGAGAAAGTTGCTCCCTCTGCAGGCTCTAGGAAGACACTCTACTTCTACTGAGGAGAGAGGATCTATGTTTTAGAAACCCTTTGCCACTCTGGTTGGAGAATTCTGCATTTTTTTTTTTTTTTAAATCAACGATTGAAATTTAACTTACATATAGTAAGTGTACTTATTGCAAGCATATGCTTGGATGTTTTAACATATATCCATGTCACTTTCATAATAATATGATATAAAGCATTGCTGTCACTCCCAAAAGTTCTTTATTTCACAACCCATTACCCACATATTCCTGCCTTCAGGCAGTCACTGGTCTGCTTTTTGAAATCATGGATTAATTTTATCTTTTCTGGATTTTCATATGAATGTAATCTTAGTTTTATACTTTTTTTTTGTTTGTGTGTGGGGGGTCTGGCTTCTCTTACTCAGCATATTGTTGAGTTTTTGCCATGATGTTGTATTAGCAATTTATTAATGCTGAGTAATACTTCATTTTTATACATTAAATTTTTGATGAACATTTGGCTTTTTGACTGTTACGAATAATGTTGCTAAGAACATTCGTGTATTTCTGTGAGTGCACATATATTTTTGTTTTTCTTGGGTAGCTGTGTAATTGCTGAGTAAGGAAAATAGATATTTAACTTCTTAAGAAACCATCTGCTATGTTTTGAAGTGATTGTACCATTAACATTCCCACCATCTATGTTTCAGAGTTCAGCTTCTCTACATCCTGTCCAACATTTGATATTGTTTGATATTCTAGATTTTGGGGGGGTTATAGTCATTTTAGTTATGTCTGTTTTACATTTCTACCAGCAATTCATGAGGTTTTCGGTTTTTCTACATTGTTGCCAACTCTTAACTTTTTTTCATTTTGATAGTAGCTATTCTAGTAGTATTGTATTCCAGCAGTGTGGTGTCTCATAATAATGGCTTGTGATGCTAGGACATCTTTTTATGGCCATTTATCATCTTTGTAGAGATGTCTATTCCAAGTATTCAAGTCCTTTGCCCTTTTTTGAATTGGATTGTTTGGTTTTGGAGTATTGAATTGTAGAAATTGTGTGTCGGGATTAAGCACAGGGCCTCAAATATACTACGGGTGCTGTAAACTGCACCCCCATCTCCTATAGTAGTCCTTTATATATTTAGTGGTCAGTTTTTAATCTGCTATTTTAGAGGAGAAAGAAGAAAGGTTCTTTTCAGCCTATACAGATGACTAACAGAATTCTTATCTGTTAGTCTTCTTTTAAAAGTCGATTAGGAAATCAATAGGGTGAACATTTATTCTTAAAACAAGATAGACTTAGGGAGAAATGCTGTTTTCCTTTTGAGAAGTACAGTATTGGGATCTAAGAGCTCAAATTGTTGGGTTTAATAGCAGATTGGGTATAACAAAAGAGAGGGTTAGTGTAATGTGTAGAAAAAGCAGCCTAAAGGACAGAGCAAAAAGTGTGGAGAGTGCAAAAAAGATTGTATTGGGGGCTGGGTTTGGGGCTCAGTGGTAGAGTGCTTGCCTAGCATATATGAGGCACTGGGTTCAATCCTCAGCATCACATAAATATAAAATAAAGACATTGTGCCAACCTAAAACTAAAAATACTAAAAAAATAAAATAAAAATATTGTATTGGGGACTTGGTGAAAACATCTGATACCTTTAATTGGAGTCTTGGAGGAGGCAGAAAATGGGACAAAAACAAATAATAAAAAAAATATATATGTATTTGAACAGTTAATGGCTAAGAATTTTCTAAAGTTGATGGAGAAATTTTTTAAAAAATATTTATTTATTTATTTTGTTATATGACAACATAATGCATTTTAATTCATATTACACATATAAAGCAGGATTTTCATGTCTCTGGTTGTACACAAAGTAGAGTCACACCATTTGTGTCTTCATACATGTACTTAGGGTAATGATGTCCATCTCATTCCTCCGCCTTTCTTACCCCCATACTCCCTCCCTTCCCTTCCCCTCCCCTTGCCCTATCTAAAGTTCCTCCATTCCTCCCATGCTCCCCCCACCCCTCCCTGTTATGGATCAACATCCTCATATCAAAGAAAACATTTGGCATTTGTTTTTTTGAGATTGGCTTACTTCACTTAGCATGATGTTCTCCAACTCCATCCATTTACCTGCAAATGCCATAATTTTATTCTCTCTTAATGCTGAGTGATATTCCATTGTGTGTGTGTGTGTGTGTGTGTGTGTATACCACATTTTCTTTATCCATTCATCTACTGAAGGGCATTTAGCTTGGTTCCACAATGTAGCTAATTGTGAATTGTGCTACTATAAACATTGATGTGACTGTGTCTCTATAGTATACTGTAATCGGAGTCTTGGAAAAGGCAGAAAATGGGTATAAACCAAAGAGTGGGATATAGCTGGGTCAAATTGTGGTTCCATTCCCAGTTTTCCTAGGAATCTTCCTGATGGAGAAATTTTATAATTCTGATGGTCTTTTATTTGATCTGGGTACTGGTCACCTGGGTGTGTTAAATTTTGTGACGATTTATTCAATGTCATAGGACTTATACCTTTCTAGTACATATATTTCAATAAAAAGTTAAAACTAAGTGACTTGAGCCGTATACAATGTGATTTTGGTAGGAACCAAGTTTTAATAATATTCTCTGATACTGGTATGTTGATCTTTATTATTGAACATGGTTGATTGATCTTTTACAAATTATTAAGAGAAGTTAACAAACTATTTTTTGTTTTGTTGGGAATTATTTCATTTTAAGTTCAAAGTACGTTGGAAAGTAGACAGTGAATTTGTTTAGTATTATGTGTATTAAAATGAGAAATAATTTAAAATTTTGGGGTTTTGTATATTAATAAAAATAGTCCTTGTTTTCAGAGAGGAAAACCTTTAAATTTGTTCCTGTTGTGTAGAAGAATTGTTAAATTGTGGGCTGGGGTTGTGGCTCAAGTGATAGAGTGCTTGCCTAGCATGTGTGAGGCACTGGGTTCGATCCTCAGCACCACATAAAAAAAGATATTGTATCCACCTAAAACAAAAAATAAATACTTTAAAACAATTGTTAAATTGTTTACCCAAATAACTTTAGGGTACTGTGTTCCTAAGTCCAGTCTCCAAAATTGTTGCCCCTTTTTGAATTTTTGTTTTATGTATTATATAAAGGCATTTCACAATATTTTATATGTAATGTGTATATAAAACTTTGTAATCTGTGATCTCTTCTGATTAGTATTTTCTGTGTGATTTCTTCCCCGCCCCCCAGTCCTTGCTTCTGAAAATAAATTATTTTAAGTGTGGTAAATATTGTAGCTATGTATAAGATGCAAATTAAGAATTCTCCCCATCTGTTTCCTCTGATAATCTTGTCTATCATGTTAGCAGGATTTTTATTTTAAAAAAATTCTTTACAGAGAATACTTTTTATACCCAAGTTAAAATTGGATAAAAGCAAAATATCTTTTAAATCCTTGATTAACTTACTGAGAGTATATTTGAGAGCTTTATTTGAACGTAAGCTGAAATTTGAGAAATGTCTTTGTATAAATTACAAGATTATTTTTTTTCCAGAATTTGTATCAGATTGTACCCTCGCATAGACTGATGTTAGAATTCCATATGTTACTTAGAAAATCAGGTAAACAAGTTTTTGTTTTCTGCCTCTTTGTACAGATAAGCTATAGTCAAGGAATTAACCAACTATGTCCCAGTGGCCAAATTGACCCCATGCCTGTATTTATAAATCAAGTTCCATTAGAACTTATTTATTTATGTATTTTCTATAGCTGCTTTTGCACTATAATGGCAGAACTAGTGGTTGTAATAGAGACTAGTATAGCTAAAATATTTATTATCTGACCCTTTACAGAAGTTTAACTACTCCTGCTATAGAACATCAGTTCTGAATTGGAAAAAGAAAATTGCCTTCAATTTATATAATTTCACTTTGTTTTAATGCCTCCTGGGCTTCAGTATAGAAAATAACATGCTTCTTAGTGAAAATCAGTCCACTAATCCAAATAAATCGGTGCAAAGATTGCATCGGTTTTTTTACCTAAGGGAAGAGAATGTTCCAAAGATGGGAAAATAGGGCAGGGACTTTAACCCATGTTCTCCATAGTATATGAATTAGTGCATATAGTCAATATAGGGATCAAACTGAACACATGGACCTCATTAGCATGTTTGATATTATTGAGCGTTCTTCTGATTTATTTCAGGAGTATGAGCATAATGAATTGTTTTAAACCATTAACCAAACTAGAAGGCTTACATAATTCATTTTCATCAGCTGTACATACCTTTTTAGCTTTATGCACTTCTTCAATCAATACCTTATTTAAACCTGAACTGTTATGAATGTTGCAGAAAAAGAAGAACTCCGTAAATTGGGGTTGAAAGTATTGTTTGGAGTCCTGGATTTTGCTGGATGCACTAAGAACATAACTGCATGGAAATATTTGGCTAGATATTTGAGACAGCTCTTAATGGAGTGAGTAATAAATACAACATTTATTTGCTTGTATTTTTGGATTTCTTCAGCTCTTTTCTTCTGAGTGTCAGAAGCTAGAAAATACAAAGTCACAAACTTAACATACAACAATTCTCTCCAGATTATCAAATCTACTATCAAATACTACATCTTGTAAGTCCATTGTGAGCTGGATATATAAAACTTTACCTATTTTTTTGGCAGAATAAAGGATATCACAAAGTTGTTTATATATTAATTTTAGTTGTATAAGGTACCCAGGGTAAGTGGAAACTTGTTTCAGACTTAAACTGATCTTGGGGAAAAAATGTATATCTTAGTCTATTTGGGTTTCTGTAACAAAATATCATAATTTGAGTGGCTTTTATATAACAAATTTATTTTCACAAGTTCTGGAGGCTAGGAAGTCCAAAGTGAAGGTACCAGCAGATTCATTGTCTGATAAAGAACAAGATTCTCAGTTCATAGAGGGTTCCTTCTCCCTATGTCCTCACCTGGTGGAAGGAAGCAAGGCAATTGCCTGGGGCTTCTCCTAAAAGATCACTAATTTAGGTCATGATTCATCTCCACATGTCCTAATTATTTCCAGTGGTGATTAGGTTTTTTTTTTATATATTCATTATTTTTTTAGTTATAGGTGTACACAATATCTTTATTTTTTTTTTATGTGGTGCTAAGGATCGAACCCAGTGCCCCACGCAAGCTAGGCAAACGCTCTACCTCTGAGCCACAACCCCAGCCTGTGATTAGGTTTTAACATGAATTTTTGTGGAGGGTGGGCAAGCATTCAGATCGATTGTACACTCAATGTAAACTCCTTTCAAATATAAAGGACTATTTAAACCTCTGCTAAACCATAGGGCTTTTTTTTTTTTTTTTGCAGGGGAGGGGTTTGCCAGGGATTGAACTCAGGGGGCACTTGACCACTGAACCACATCCCCAGTCCTATTCTGTATATTATTTAGAGAGAAAGTCTCTCACCTAGTTGCTTATTGCTATCCTCTTGCCTCAGCCTCTGAGCCGCTGGGATTACAGGGCTTCACCACACCCAGCTACCATAGGGCTTTTGAAAGCCAAGAAACATAATATTTGCTTTTTAAATTTCTAGAAGTTTTGCCGCAGGAGACATACAGGTGCTAAATAAGTATATCCTCAAATTATTGATGAACATTTAGCATTGCTCTTCAGCTGTGAGATCCATGTATTTATGTATTTTATAATAATGTCATTTTAATTAAATTTTGGTAGCATATAATTTAAGGTTTTAAAGTAACTTTCAAATAATTATGATAGCATTTATTGAACATTTGCTCTGTACCAGATACTGTAAAAGGAGCTTTATGTGAAACCTGCTATTACTACTGGACTAGTTTAGTCCTAATAACAATGCCATGAAATAAGTATCATTTTTATCCTCAAGGAAATTGAGAATCAGAGAGGTTAAGCAACCTGCTCAAGATCAATAGTAAATGGAATATCTGAAATTTAAAGGATTTTTACTTCAGAATCACTGCATCACTTTACTGTAATGAACTGGCTATTTAGTTAAGAGGAAATTAGAATGTGGAGATCAAAGAGAATTAAAAAGTATTTGATTTTATGTTATTGCTGATGTTAGTCTAGAAATAGCTTCCTATAGCTAAAATCAAATTCTAATGTACAGATTTGTCCCCATCACTGACCTTCCCTTTTGACATTTTTGTTTTTAGGAATCGTCTTGCGTGGGTTCAAGAAGAATGGAATTCCAGGAAAAGCTGGTGGCCAACCTTTCACTTCAGCTACTTTTGGGCAAAAAGTGATTGGAAGGAAGATACAGATTTGACCTGTGAGAAAGCTTTTATAGCTGGAATACTGTTAGGAAAAGGTACATTTTTGTTTTCTTTTAATTTTATCTTTTGAATATGACCATTCTTTCATTGTAGAGCTTATCTAGTGTGGTCCATAAGGATTCTGGATGCTCAAGAAATAATTGTTGAGCTGGGTGTGCATGCCTGTAGTCCCAATGGCTCTGGAGGCTGAGACAGGAGGATTGCAAGTTCAAAGCCCTCCTCGGCAAAAGCGAGATACTAAGCAACTCAGTGAGGCCTTGTCTCTAAATAAAATACAAAAATAGGGATGAGTATGTGGCTCAGTGGTTGAGTATCCCTGCATTCAATCAATAGTACCCCCCCAAACAACAACAACAAAAATAAATAAAGAGTGGATCATGAGTTGGGAACTGGTAATGTGCTTATAAGGAATCCCCTAGGGTTAGAAACAGTGCTTTCATGTTGTTGATAGTGATTATTTCTCATGCTCTGACTTGGGTGTTGTTGGGGGCATTAAGATGCACCATGCAAGACTGTTTCACAATCACTGACTGCTTGGCCTTGTTGCATAGGTTTACTGAGACTGTCTACTAATCAAGAATGTTCTTTCATACCTCATTGTTCTTTAATAGATCTGTATTATATACACTTAAATGTTCCTGTAAGGAGAAAAATTCTCCTTAAGAATACCTCCCATTAACTTGTCAAATAGTCCTCTTAAAAGGAATGAGAAATTGATTGTTTCTTTATGGAATATTTTGGCCAATAAAATTCGTACTGGCTTTGTACCACTGAAATATTAAAGTTAGCCAGTACTGAAATGAAACTGCTACAAAATGTACAGAAATGATGTGTATGATAACAACTAGTAAGATATATTTTGCTAGGGAGTTTAAGGTGTCCTAAAGAGATTCTTCAGTTCACTTTGGATTATGGTTTGTATTGTTTTCAACAGTGTATCCTTAATATATGTTTCAGATGGTTACTAAAATTAATAAAATACTAGTTTTATAGGAAGAAAGTGCTTTAGAAAGTAATTTTAAAATGGCTTTTTAATACATGGATGACAAGGAACATAAATGTTATTTAGATTGTTATCTTCTACTTTATGAATTTGGAATCCAAAGACCTAGACTAACTTTCTCATTCTCTACTCGTCATGTGACTTGGGTCAAGCAATTAACCTTTGGGATTGTCCAAAGGGATTTGGACACTGGGATTGTCCTTTGTGAAATATCAAGTGAACATCACATCAAAGGGCTTTATGAATTCTGAAGTTGTCTAGGAATATCAGGTGTTGTTATGCCTGAAAATGGGCACATCTCTCCTGTCTGGGTGTTAGTGTGGAGAGAGTGAATCTATTCAAAAGCTGAGCTTTTTTTTCCCTCTTGTTCTGGTTATCATCATTACACCACAGTACTCAAATTCTGATTGTGGTCTGCTTTTGCTTTGTGCTTAGAATGGGGTATGTTAGCTTTCTTCCCATGCTATATGAGAAACAAGATGGGCCCTTGCTCTGTGGAGGGACCTTTTCTGGTTGAAATTCAGCTATTTGGTTGCTTTGCTAGTTAAGCTCTCTAGTGGATTTACAAAGAGGTGTATTTTGTAGTTTGTTTACCTTTTTCTGACTGTGATAAATGCCTCTTTTGCTGACTTAGAAGCTAAAGTTGAGAGGAAAGTAGTACTAATTTGATCTTGGAGAATGTTCCTTTAATGTACGAATATACATAATAATGTGTATATCACTATAGGGTTTGGGGAAGGAGAAGGAAAAAAGCTAAAATATATGCCTTAATTATAATGGATCAAAAACATCTTTGTGAAGTAATACATTTCATTAGTGGCAGCTCTTAGAATATGTGTGGGCCATACTGGTATATATAGAGTTGAAGCAAAAATTTCAGACTATACACATGTACTTTAAAAATTTGGATGATAAGTATTAAAATTTTTTGCTCATTTTATTTTTTAGGCTGTAGATATTTTCGGTATATTTTAAAACAAGATCATCAAGTGTTAAAGAAGAAAATTAAGCGGATGAAGAAATCAGTGAAAAAATACAGTATTGTAAATCCAGGAGTCTGATATTAAATTTTAGTTATTTCACAGTTGTAGCCACACTGTAGTAGCAGTAGATTGTTACTAAATATATTTATTTGATAGTTTAAGAAAGTATGACTATAGAAAGTATTTATATGACTATAGAAAGTATTTTTGTATTTCCTTTTACTGTAAGTTATAACTAGAAAAATAATGCCTCTGACTTTGTTCCTTGTAAATATATATACACACACATATTTTCTTTTTTTTTTGTAATGTAAAATAAAACGTTTTTTTATGGAATGATTCTCCGAGTGAAAAAATAAATATGTTTAATTAGAGAATATAGCTCTGTAGCAGTTATTATTTGCAGATAACTTGCCTCTTGCTGTTATGTAATAAAATACAACTAGTGGTGCAAAATGAATTTTTGTTTTTTTAGACTCTAAATTTACCCATGTTAGATTTACCACGATGAAGAAAAATATTAGTGATGAGTTCTGTTGAATTTTGGAAAGAGAGATGGATTTTAGGAAGTGACTCTTTTTTTTTTTTTTTTTTTGTATTAAGACATGGAAATTTAGGGTTGAGAATTTTTCTGCCAGATAGAAAAAGAACCTTCTACCACGAAGGAGTAATTTGGATCAAAGAGGTAGTGGGAATTGGCTGTTTCAACTGGCACTTGCATAACTTAAAAAAGGCTGTTAGGTTTTGTTATTGCCTAGCACATCAGTCTTAGATGTTTTAGAACACAGGTGTCCTCACTCCTTTCTTGGAAACTAGAATGCAGCAGTAAGCATTTGCCTGGTGGAAGACTCCTTACCAGTGCAGTAGTAACCCAGCATCACACAGTTAAGCCCAGGGACAATTTTTTGAGAACACAAGCTGGGCATGATAGCATGTTGTGATAGCTGTTCGGGTGTTCAAGGAAGTGCTTCATAAATGTCTGCCTTTTATGCATTTTGTGTTCAGATAACCAGTAACTGAGTTCCATGAACGCTCACTAACTTTACAGTAAGCCTAATATTTAGATGACAAGCCACACATTTTTTCCATTGTACTTTTTTTTATGAACGTTACTTAATACTCAAGTTAAAAACGTTTTCTGTTCTTTTCTACCTGTACTTTAACTCTAAAGCATCTGCAAGAAAATTGGGGGATAAATTATGCTTTGTCAATTTATAGTTCAGTATTATTTTGCACTTAATAAAAACACTTCTATCAATAAATATCCAGCCTTAAAAGGTACACATAAAACAAGTAGGTATTCCAAAAGAGCCAGAACAAATCAAGCTAAAGCCACCACATAAATAGGTCTAACTTTACTGCTGGGAGTGGGTGATTGGGTTGTGTAGGAGTTCTGTATATGAAAGACTACCACTAGAGGAATGAAATTCCCAGATAATGTGTTCAAAAATCTCAAAACATAGGCCAAGATAGCCAGAGCATCTATCTACTCACTGAAACCTTTATCAAAAGCTGTAAAATGGCTACAGAATGGAGGTTCAGAATGTGAGGTGAGTAGATATAGTTCTTGGTTTTCACACAAAGCTTTCCTAGAATTTTTTTAGCATGTTCATATCTGACTTTTTGATAAAAGCAGTATGAGTCAACCCTTGTGGAAATTATTTAGGTCCACTGAAAGTAAAGCCAGTTCCGTGAATAATAACAATGGCCAGAATTTATGAAGCACTATGGACTTTACATTTCATCATAACACCACCACATTTCTATGAGTTATTCCTATTTTACCAAGGAGGTGAATGGAGTCCTTGGAGATGCCAGTAACTTGCCAAGGTCACAGCTAGTAGGTGTTAGTGCAAGGTTGCTAACCTAATTAGTATGATTCTGAAGATCACACTGGTGCTATCTGTATCGCCTCCCAGGTAAGTCACTTTTTACTACCTGCACAGCTGGGTAGCCAGAAAAAGAATAGAAAGGGATTCATACATAACCCAGAGGCCATTGGCTCAAGCAATTGGTAGGCTTTTCATTTTGTGTCCCCACATGCTCCTATATCAGATGACCACTCCCCCTGCAACCTTAGCCTGTATCTTAGAATATGACCTTATTTGGAGACAGTCTTTACAGGAATAATGAAGTTAAAATGCAGATATTATGGTGGGCCCTAATCAAGGATGACTGGTATCCTTATCAAAAGGGAAAAATTGGTGCTTGGGTTTTAGCTCAGAGTTGGCCTAGGATGTGTGAGGCACTGGGTTCCATCCTCAGCACCACATAAATATAAATAAAATAAAGGTATTGTGTCCAAATACAACTAAAGGGGGAAAAAAAAACGGGAAGGGAATTGACACACGCACTGGAAGAATACCATCCCAACATGAAGCCACAGATTGGGTATCTCCAAGTCATGAAATACAACACAAACCATCAGAAGCTTGGAGAAAGGTCTGGAACCGACCCTGCTGACACCTTCATCTCAGACATTGAGTCTCCAGAACTGAGAGATAATTTCTATTGTTTAGGCCACCCAATTTGTGGTTCTTCGTTAGGGCAGCCCTAGCAATTAAAAATGATTTTTTTTTTTTTAAAGTTTGCTTCAGAGTGAGATCTGAGGTGATTCAGTCTGGTTCTAGTTTTTAGTTCCAGACTAATTTACTAAGTTCACCTAACACTCAAGTTAAAAATGTTTTCTGTTTTTTTTCTACCTGTACTTCACCTTCAGGTAGAAGATTTTCTTGTTCCTTTGCAGCCTGTTGTCATCTCTTTCCTTGGATTCAGAATAGCAATTTGTTCCTTCCTTACTGTTATCTTAGTATAATCTGTTTTTATTTGGGGGTAGGGTCACTTTTAGCCTTCTCAGCATAAAAGTTACTTATCAATTTTCCATTAAACATTCGTCTTTTAGTATAATACTTTACACACAAGAATATGTATTTGTTAAATTGACACAACATCTACTGCAAAATTAGTTATTGCATAATTATGATACAATCATATACATTATGTAATTCTATCTGAAATAGGATGTTTTAGAAGCTCATACTGTCACTACATCCCATGAGCTCCTGCCAGCTGATCTTCCCTTGCTAGTCTTGCAGGGAGTTTTTGCCCCAAACAATGTGATATCCATATTTTCATGGCAAAAGGAAAACTGAGACAAATGTCAAAGATACTCTCAGTTCTATATGGAAGGAAAGAATGCATTCATTCATTCTTACATAGTTCTGGGTCAGGTGTTGCCTCCTTTCTCAGAAGGTCACAGTGGCTGTGAACTCACTTGACTTAGTCTAACTTACTCTTTGTGCCTAAGGTTTACAAAGCAATGAATTATCTGACCTTTGGGCAAACAACCCAATGGAAACTGCACAGTCACCAGTGAATCGTGGATGCCTTATTATATTTTAAAAAGCAGGGACTTGGGATGTAGCTTAGATAAAGCACATGCCTAGTGTGCATGAGGCCTGAGTGCTATCCTTAGCACCACAAATAAGAAGGAACACTCAACTAGGTCTGATATTGAACAGTACAGAGCTGTATTGACAATCATTCTGAGTACTCCCTCTGACTTTTTCCTTGGTTATAAATATTTGGATTTTAAATGCTGCTTGGGCTTTTATAATTGAGAACACTGTAATGTAGACTTGTCTAGGTTGAGGCTCATGCTTCCCTCTTGACATGCTGGCAAAGGCTGCGTGTGAGTGGAAGCCAGGTGGGGTACCCTCTGTAGCAACACATTGGAACCAAGACAAACAACAAGAAGTGCTGGCGAAGATGTGGGGGGGGGGGGAAAGGTACACTCATACACTGCTGGTGGGACTGCAAATTAGGGCAGCCAATTTGGAAAGCAGTATGGAGATTCCTTGGAAATCTGGGAATGGAACCACCATTTGACCCAGCTATTCCTCTTCTTGCACCCAAAGGACCTAAAACCCCTACAGGGACACAGCCACATCAATGTTTATAGCAGCACAATTCACAATAGCTAAACTGTGGGACCAACCTAGATGTCCTTCAGTGGATGAGTGGATAAAAAAAAAATGTGGCATTTATACACAATGGAATATTACTCAGCACTAAAAATAAGAATAAGATCATGGCATTTGCAAGGAAATGGATTGCATTAGAGCAGATTATGTTAAGTGAAGTTAGCCAATCCCCCCCCCCCAAAAAAAAACAAATGCCAAATGTCTTCTCTGATGTAAGAAGGGTGACTCAAAATGAGGTTGGGAGGGAGAGCAAGGGAGGAAGATTACCTCTAGATAGGGAATAGGGGTGGGAGGGAAGGGGAGGGAGAAGGGAAATAGCACGGATGGTGGAAGGAGAGGGTCATCATTATACAAAATACATGTATGAAGATGTGAGTTTGGAGTCAACATACCTTTTATACATACAGAGATATGATAAATTGTGGTATAAAGGTGTATTAAGAATTGTAATGCAAAAAAAATAAGAGCTCATGTATAATGGCATAATTTGGCGTGAACATACTTTATATACAGAGTTATGGAAAAATTGTGCTTTGAATGGATAATTATTATTGTAATGCATTCCACTATTGTCATGTATGTAAGAAATAAAAAAATTAAAAACTTACATTTCAAAGGTAAGCTTTTGCAAGAAAGGAAATTTCAAAGTGAACTGGAAACATGGAAAATAAAGAGTAAGCTCAGGGACCAGATGTCCCCATGGACCTGTGTCCCTATTTGTGCCTCTGTTTGGTTTTGTGGCTATTTGTCTACTCATTCAAGAAGAATTTCCAAAGGCCTGTTATGTGTAAGGGACACATACAGAGCAAAACACATTCTTAAGTTGTGTTGGAACTTACACTAAGTGAGGAGGAGTACCCCTAAAGCTGGTATAGACTTGGCAAAAATAACCCAAACATCCTGTGCTTCCTGGTAAAATTATCCCAAACAGTCCTTGTTGGGCCACACTCCTGTGTCTTAATGTGTCTCTCAAAATTAATATACTGAAACTAATTTGCCAGTGTGTTAATATTCAGAGGCAGGGCCTTGGGCTGGTGTGTTATTCAGCTTTCCGTTACTGTCACAATCACCTGAGGTAATCAGTTTAATAAAGAGGAAAGGTTTATTTTGGTTCACAGTTATAGAGGTTTCAATCCATGGTTGGTTGGGGAGCCTGGGTCCACTATCCCTTTCAAGGACACGTTCTCAGTGACCTAACTTCCTCCACCTCCAAGAGGTTCTACTATCTTCCAGTGGCACCATGAGTCAAGAACCAAGACTTTAACACATGGACCTTAAGAGGACATTCAGGGTCTAAACTATAAGATGGGCTTGGTAATGCACACCTATAACTTCCAGCAACTTGGGAGGCTGAAGCAGGAGAATGGATATTTTGAAGTGAGACTTGGCAACATAGTGAGACTGGCTCAAAAGATGGGGAGGGCAGGGTGCTGGGCATGTAGCTCAGAGCATCCCCGGGTTCTATCCCTGGTACCTGGGAGGAAAAACAAACAAAGAAACAAACTATAGCAGCCAAGGGTGTAGCTCTGTTAGAGTGAGTGCCTAGCATGCTAAGGCCTTGGGCTCAATCTCCAACACACACACAAAAAGGTGATGCCTTTAGGATTCAATTAGGGCTTCTGTAAGGGGGCTTGAGGGTTGGTTTGTTTCACTCTGACCCTTCTGCCATGTGATGTCATGAAGATGCAGCAAACGGTGCCATCAACAAGGAATAAGGCCCTCATCAAACACCAAAACTTGTCCCCCATCTTAAACTTCCTAGTCTCCTGAACCATGAGATAAAAATGTCATTTATAAATTACCCTGTGATATTTGGTACAGCAGCTTGATTTGACTAAGACACCCTCCTCTTCCTTTACTGTCTTCTCTTTCCTCACTCCTTGCTGCAGATGCAAGACTCACGACATGTCCTTCCTTCTTCCCATCCACATACACACCTTATCGGACCTCAGGGGCCATAGGGCACCCTGGCTTCCACGAAGCTTCCCTCCGTCTCCCCCCACCCACACTCGAGTCTCCACAGTGCCCTTCAGCACCACAGGAGCCCTGGAAGCCTGCCTTCAGAGCCTGCTGTCTGGGACTCAGTAATGTGGTGTTCTCACAGAATGGCCTCTGGGCCACTCGGCCTGTGAAGAAATAGTAAACAAGTGTGGATTTTCCGGCCTGCTCTGCAGAATTCTGTGCAGTTTTAAGGAATCAGGCCCCTCTGCTGTTGACACTGTTGCAACTTTTGGCTAAGAAACCGTGTGCCCCAACGACTCAGCGCTGGCATTGAGAATAGCACAAGCTTCATGTTTAGATGGGACGGAGGAGGTAGGGACAACTTCCTTTTCCTTCCACAAGGGACGCTTGGCCACCAGCCCACAGGAGGGACACTGCTCAGAAACCACTTCTTGGAACTAGGGGCGGGGATGGGGGTAGAAGGAAGAAAGAGAAAGGGGGTTGAGGAGCAGGGAGGAAGAGAGGGAGGGAATGTGGGCAGAGCAGGGAAGCCAACCTGAGCAAACCGCAGCCGGAGGGAGTGTTCCCAAGGCCAAAATGCTGAGAAAGCCCAAGCCCGATCTGCGTGATGGTCGCTGTTCCTGGGGCCCCAGGCTCTCTCCCGGCACTGTCTGTCTATGTCTCACATTTGTGGGCCAGATGGGCTTGCTGCGGGGACACCCCCAGTGCCTGGATTATGGGCCTCCCTTTCGGCCTCCCCTGCACCTTGAGTTTTGCTCCGACTATGAGTCCTTTGGCTGCTGTGACCAGCGCAAGGACAACCGCATCGCCACTCGGTACTGGGACATCATGAACTATTTCGATCTGAAGGGCCATAAGCTGTGCGGAGGTTACATTAAAGACATCCTTTGCCAGGTAGGCCTGAGTGTAAACCCGAGGGGAAACGATGGAGCCAGCTTGGCAATGTGCCTTCCAACCCCAGCGGTAAAGGGTGCTGGACTGCTGGCAAGTCCTAGGGGGAGGGTGCTTTGGACACTCAGCCTTTTAGAGCTTACCTGTCTGCCAGGTGCCTTGCCGGACAGCTATGTGCTCTGTACACTGAGGCACAGGTGTGCTGAGTTTGGCTTGCACAAGTTCCTCAGAGATCTCCCTCTGGGGCATTTCCCCAGGAGCCAAAAGAATAAGAGAGGTATTTTTCATGGAGCTCTCAGAACCGATGCTGTCCATGTTCTCTCTGCAATGATCAGAGAGCTGGGCACAGCACACCTGTGACACTTCTGGAGTATGTGAGGGAGGGAAGCATTGGCATCTGCTGGGGTCCAGCCCTTGCTTAGCTGGGTGCTTTGTGCCAAGGGGGTCTCTGGTGTGATGGTAACGGTGGCAGAGATTATGGGGCTCTCTGTGGTGTACTGGCTGCCCAACACTCCAGAACTGGACTGAGAGAGCTTCAAGCTGCTGACAAGCGATGACTCAGAGTTTCTGCTTCTCCAGGCTCATCAGTAGCCAAAATCCACATTTCTGGGAGGCATCGCCTGAGTTGAGTTCAGCCTGGAAACCTGATGTGTACAGGCTGCACACAGACTTTATGGGAAGAGGGTGTTTAGGGGTGCAGGGAGAGAGCTGATGAAAGAAGTGGCTATGAGGAAGGTGTACTCTAACCATGTGACAAAAGTCCAGACAGGCCTTTTATCTGAGACCCTGCTGGGCATTCATGTCCCTTGCTGCTGCCACTATTCAGAAGTGCACTGGCCACCCCAACTCCCTGCATGCTGCAAAGAGAGATTATATGAGCCCCCCAGAGTCCAGGCAGGAATTACCACTGAGCCTGGTGCAGAAGTCATCCACTTGGGTGGCACTGCCCCAGGGCTGTACTCTTTCACCTAGAGCACCACCTCTTGTTGTTTCCTCTAGAATTAACTCTGGGATAGCCATGTGGTGTCAGAAGTTGGGCTTTTCTTTTTTGGACCAAGGATTGAACCCAGGGGCTCTTAACCACTGAGCCACATCCTCAGCCCTTTTTATTTTTTTATTTAGAGACATAGTCTTGCTAAATTCAGGGCCTCAATAAATTGCTGAAGCTGTCTTTGAACTTGCAATCCTCTTGCCTCAGCCTCCCCAGATGCTGGGATTGCAGGCGTGTGCATTGGCACCCTGCAGAAGCCTGGCTTTTATGAGCAGTACTCAGGTTGTTTATTTCTGAGAGCTCCCCTGGTGAAAATGTCTCTTCCTTCCAACTTCTCTCTTTGGTGATGTTTTAAAAAGTCACATGCAACATCTCTTTTGTTTCAGAGATTTGAGGAATAAGAGTAATTTCAGCCAAACAATTCGACTCATGTCTGTTAAAACTTACAAGGCACTCTTTCTTCCCCCAGACATGTAGTGTGTTCTTGGCAATGATTTTGTAGGTATTATGAGTTCCACCTTTACCAGAATCATTTGTCCAAGGTTAAACAGTCCTAGGGCACAAATCTAGATGTTCAGACTCCAGATCTTGTGACCCTGTGATCACATCACATTAAAGTATAGTAGCAACAGCATTGGTCAATTAATTGCTTTTCTGAACACCTGGAAGCGTGAGCTTCATTAGAGAATTTGTGCACTCGCTGCTGGTGCCCGGTGCCGAAAGCAGGACGTGGCATGCAGGAGAGACTCAATAGTTAAGGCGTGCAGTAGAGATGCTGCCTGGGCTTGGATTTTCTTACCCATGAACTGGAAAAATGTTTGTTTAGTTATAAGCAACTCTGCAAACTCTATAAACAGCTGCGTAAGAGTGTGCCATGCTGGTGGTGACATTTCCATCGTCCTTTCTGCCCTTTAGTATTTTGTTCTTATTTTTGTGTCCCTTCTCCCTTTATTCCACCTCCCAGAGTTGGATGGAGTCAGTGAGGTGACACTCAGGAGCAGGTCATTTTGCTTGTTGTTACTCTGATAATTATTCTCAGCTGACCCAGACAGTCCCAGGAGAGACACTGTGTGTGAAACTCTGGATTCTTTTTCTTTGCCCAATAAGCAAGAATTTGTTCTGCAATCTACAGTCCAGAGGAAAAAAGAGAAGACAGGGACACAACCATGCATAAAAAGTGCTGCTGCTCCCTTTGTGAAGTGTTGAGAGAGTGCAGGCAACTGAGTCAGCCCACAGGTGGGCTTGGGAGAGAGATTAGTAATCAGTGGGGTTTGGCTAATGGACTCTCCTTTACTCTGCCTCTCCAAACTCCACAGGTAATCTGTCTTTCTTACTTTCCAAGGCTCAGTTGACTCTCTTTCATCACCATTGGGAGCTGATTGTCCACAAAATTGTATTTTCACCTTAAAATTTCTGTAAATCTAGGGAAGACCAAGTAGCAGATACTTTTTTGGACACACTGTTCATATGTATTTGTGTAAAGAGTAGTCATATTGCCCAAACGTCACAATTCAAATACGTATAGTTCCCAGCGCAGTGCTTTGAACACATCAGACACAAATAGTTTTACAAATACCTGAAGAAATTACTAGACACCCAGTCTCTGGGAGTGGTACATCTAATGTCCATTTTGATCATTTACCTTTTAACTGCAAAATATTTCAAACATGGAGAACCAGAGAATGAAATAATGTCTCATGTCTCCAACACCCAGATTTAATAAATGTGAAACTTTTGCCAAATTGCTTAAGAACTGATAAAGAAAGAAAATCTTGCAGATATAGCATTTATAAGAAAGGAAAATTGAGATCTTTGATACCATTTTCTCTTTAAAATGTTTATCTAGTAACATCAAGTGTCAAGAACTAAGATGAAATGCTAAAAATAGTGAGTACAGAGTGTGTCCCCCTCCCCTATCTTTTTTTTTTTTTTTTGGTACCAGGAATCAAACCCAGAGGTGCTGCATCACTGAGCCACATCCCCAGCCCGTTTTTATATTTTATTTAGAGACGGGGGTCTCACTGAGTTGCTGAGGGACTTGCTAAGTTGCTGAGGCTGGTTTTGAACTTGTGATTCTCCTGCCTCAGCCTCCTGAGCCACTTGGGATTACAGACAGGCACCACCACACCTGGCTCCCCTTTTCTTTCTGCCTTCCAGGAGCATTAATGGATAAAAAATGTTGGTCCAAGAAGTGATTTATTAGTAGTTGGTAATAAAAACTCCAGAATCTGGAATCCAGCCAGGGTAGTGGTGCACACCTGTAATTCCAGTAAGAAGCTGAGGCAGGAGGATCTCAAGTTTTGAGGCAGCCTGGGCAACTTAGTGAGACTTCGTCTCAAAAAAAAAAGGTTTATAGCTCAGTGTAGTGCACCCCTGGATTCAAATCCCCAGTACCACAAAACAAAACAAAATAAATCCCCTCCAGAGTCCGTTTTTTGTTGTTGTTGTTGTTGTTGTTTGTTTGTTTGTTTTTTGGTACCAGGCATTAAACCCAGGGGCACTTAACCACTGAGTCACATCTCCAGCCCTTTTATTTTTTTATTTTGAGACAGGGTCGCATTAAGTTGCTTAGGGCCTCACTAAATTGCTGAGGCTGGTTTTGAACTGGCAATCATCCTGCCTCAGTCTCCTGAGTCACTGGGATGACAGGCAGGCACCACTACTGCTGACAGAATCCTATTTTTTTTTCCCCTTGGCCATTTCTCTGCTTGTTCAAATTGAGACTGACCTTCAGCTGTCTTCCAGGAATGTTCGCCCTATGCAGCCCACCTCTACGATGCCGAGAACCCTCACACACCCCTCCGGAACCTTCCTGGGCTCTGCTTTGACTACTGCTCGGCATTCCATTCTGACTGTCACTCTGCCATCTCCCTCCTAACCAATGACCGAGGTCTCCGAGAGTCCCACAAAAAGGATGGTGCCCACTTCTGCCAACTCCTCAATCTTCCGGACAAGGATTACTGCTTCCCCAACGTCCTGAGGAATGACCATCTCAATCGCAACCTGGGGGTGATGGCCGAGGACCATCAGGGCTGCCTGCAGCTCTGCCTGGCCGAGGTGGCCAATGGGCTCAGGAACCCGGTCTCCATGGTGCACGCCGGGGACGGCACCCATCGCTTCTTTGTGGCCGAGCAGGTGGGAGTGGTGTGGGTGTATCTGCCTGACGGGAGTCGCCTGGAGCAACCTTTCCTGGATCTCAAGAGCATCGTACTGACCACTCCATGGATCGGGGATGAGAGGGGCTTCTTGGGATTGGCTTTTCACCCCAAATTCCGTCGCAACAGAAAGTTCTATATTTATTATTCATGCCTGGGCAAGAAGAAGGTAGAAAAGATCCGGATTAGTGAGATGAAGGTTTCTCAGGCTGATCCCAATAAAGCTGACCCCAAATCGGAGAGGTGAGATGGACTCATGCAAATGCACCTCTACTGTGTTCTGAAATAATGCGGATCAGCCCTTTGAAATGATAGAGGTGGAACCTTGCTGGTTTTAGAACACTAGCTTAAAATGTTAAAGGAATCGTCAATTAATGAGGACAGCCCAAGTTAGACTCTTTAGGCAAGGGTTTTTATGGGATGTGACAATCCGAATTAGAGCCTGACTTAGTTGTCTTTACAGAGGATAAGCAAGAACTAGCAGCCAGAGGGATTGAGAAGTGATTATAAAAAATACAGTGAGCGGTGGCACAGCAGCACACGCCTGTAATCCCAGCAGCTCAGGAGGCTGAGACAGGAGGATCGTGAGTTCAAAGCCAGCCTCAGCAATGGCGAGGTGCTAAGCAACTCAGTGAGACCCTGTCTCTAAATAAAATGCAAAATAGGGCTGGTGGTCTGTGGTGGAGTGCCCCTAAGTTCAATCACTGCTTCAATAATTACAGCTTCTAATTATTGTGTGGCCCTTAGATTCCAGGCCCTTTAGCTTGAATGTGGGATCTTGCAAGAAGCTATGGCATAAGGCCATAACACTAGTGATACAAGATCAGATGATCCCAGTTCTAGCTGACCCCAGTTCATGTTCTTTTCACTCTACCACCCTGCCCATTTCTCCTCTTCTTTCTACCTTGCCTCCTTTTCCACCACAGACAGATTGAAAGATTGGAGAAAGCATGAGGAATGGATAGATCCATCCCTGCTAACTTGCTCAAACAAAGAAATTGAAAGTTCATATAGAGCCAGAGACTAATAGGCAAGAGCTAGAAAGGGAGGGTTGTTCCCCTGACTGTGTCTCAGCTTGTGAAGTCATGGTCTTGAATAAAAATGATCCATGAAGGTGTTATAGAAGGAAAGAAGGATCATCTCAGAACCCCAAGCTACTTGCTTTGTGATTCCTGAAGCAGGTCTTGGCTGACTTTGCAGATCTTGGTGACTTGGACCAGTCTATTTGGGGTATCTCTAGAGGATGTAGCTTTAGCTGTGTCAAAGTGTGAAGTTTCTTTTTCTTTTCCAGGGTCATCTTGGAGATAGAAGAACCAGCCTCAAATCATAATGGTGGACAACTTCTTTTTGGTCTGGATGGCTACATGTACATATTCACTGGGGATGGAGGGCAGGCTGGGGATCCCTTTGGCAAATTTGGAAATGCTCAGAACAAGTAAGATGGATGGTAGCAAGGTCCCTGCCCCCTTAGAGTGAACCCTTGGTATAGTGTTTTTGTTGAGATGGAGTCAAACCCAGAATGCTTTCTGTAATATATAGTCCCATTTAGGCAAATGAGAGGAACATTTGGTTTTCTGTCCTATAAATAATATACATCATATACTTTGGTAGTTAATATTATGGATGCCTAGTGTAAGTCTCAGATACTATGTAAAGAAAAATCAGTATTTTAAATATATGTTAATAGGACACTATCCATGAAATCAATCATTCAATTAACTTTAATCCAATTATGTTACCAAGCTCAGTGTTTCAGGAGTGGTAGGCCCTGGGGACACTAAAAAGTTAATGTGCGTGGTGAGCTAATGTGGCCACGAGTGGTGGCGCATTCCTGTAATCCTAGCGGCTTAGGAGGCTGAGGCAGGAGGACTGAGAGTTCAAAGCCAGCCTCGGCAACTTAGTGAGACCTTAAGCAACTTAGTGCTACCCTGTCTCCAAATAAAATATGAAAAAGGGGATGGGGATGTGGCTCAGAGGTTTAAGTGCCCCCAGGTTCAATCCCTGGTAACCCCCCCCCCCCAAAAAAAAAGCGAGCTAGTGCATATAGGGTGCTAACTGTGTGTCAGAGATGGTTCCAAATACGTAATGTGTATTTGAGAATTAAAATTTTAATAACCTTTGAGGTTAAGAAATTTTATCTATTTTGTTAATTGGTCTATCTTCAGCACACCCGTCACTCTGTAAATATTGTGGAATGAGTGAATCTCATGATGTGTAGGTATTATGAGAGCCATTTTACAGACAAGAAAACAGAGGCACAGAAGTCACACAGCAAGTAAGTGGCAGAACCAGAATTATAGCTTGAATGATCTAGTGCCAGAGTTCACTGATGCTCTGCTGCCTATAAAGGTCAGTGTTTCTTCTCTCCTTTGCACCCAGTCAACACTTGGCTCCCATTATTCCTAGTATTATAAATATTAAAATTAATAATAATAAAAGCTAACATTTATTGAATGCTATGATTCAGGAATTGCATTAAGTACTATATGCACAATAACTCATTGAACCCCAATCACACTGTTAAGTAATGTCACTCTCCTCTGCTTTACAATTGAGGACACCAAAACCCAGAGATCAAAGTCATTGACAAAGCCTCTTAAAAGTCTGTTCTAAGGCTGGATGCAGTGGCTAATGTCTGTAATCCCAACAGTTTGGGAGATTAAGGCAGAAGATTGCAAGTTTAAAGCCAGCCTTAGCAATGGTGAGACACTAAGCAACTCAGTGAGACCCTGTCTCTAAATAAAATACAAAATAGGGCTGGGGATGTGGCTCAGTGGTGCCCCTGAGTTCAATCCCTGGTATCCCCCACTCCAAAAAAGTCTCTGTTCTATTTACTGACCCCTTTGCTATCTGAAAAGTAATAAAACCAGCTTTAGGGCTGGGCCTGTAGCTCAGTGGCAGAGCACTTACCTCACATGTGTAAGGCACTGGATTCGATCCTCAGCACCACATAAAAATAAACAAATAAAATAAAGGCATTCTGTTCATCTACAACTATTTTTTAAAAATTTTTAAAAAAACCAGCTTTAAGAACAATTCATAGTATTAGAATTGTAGAGAAAAGTTCTTATCATTAAAATAAACAATTAAAGCTGCAACTTTTTCAGGATTACGTGGACCCTTTTTCTTAGTAGTTCTCCTTGAGTCAAAAATAGGGAAGTCTTAACATCC